ATCTACAGAACAACAGCAACAACTTACACACACAAACACAAAATCAAACTACATTACCACTACCACAAACAAACTTCAAAAAACAACGGTAATTTACTAAAACAAAAAAGAAAAATAGTACTTACCAATTATAAGATAAATCACAAATTATTAAATCAATACATTTTTTTTAATTATAAAATCTAAATTTCTTTGCACGTTTTGACACAAAAAATTAAATCCGAAATAAGAAAACTTTTCGCACAGCCTACTGCACTCACCAATAACCGCTCTGCTCGACGAGGAGTTGTAGAATAGAGATAAGTAGATCGATTTGCGAGTATTCCACTTGTCGTTGACAAGAAATGGAAATAATATAGCGCACTTTTACACGAGGGAGACAATTGTTGCATGGGAATGAAAAACGAGTTGTCAGTATTGGGGATTTTTATTTAGAATTGAGGAAAACTTTTCGATGTAAATTGCGGAGGAGCTTATTAGAGATATTATCAGTTATGTAATAAAAAGTTTTACATTCTCGTAGTTCTAACAGACCACTTGATCTAATTCTACCATGCGGACCCGATATCATAAAGAAAAATCGGTTATCGTCGTTAAAAGCCTTACGTTCATACAAATGTTTTTCACAATATTAGTCTGTTCCAGAACTGCAAGAATGTAAAACTTTTTACTGCGATAACCCATTTTTTATGATATCAAAAAATATTGCAAAACTATTTTTTAATTATTTTTTTTGGCGTTCATCGGAAAAAAATGGGGCAACACTGCTACCAAAAAATAAACAATAGCGAAGTTGTTTATGTGTTAAACGTCGTGACCATATACAGTTTGTCAAATAATTCTTTGCAAAATTAAAAAAAAAATTTTCATATATAAAGTAAAAATTTATTAAGAAAACTAATTTTTTTACATTTTTTTCTTTTACTATATATTAGATTTAATAGTAAATATTGATATTAATGAAAAAAATTATACGTTTCTACATTAAATAAAAAAATAAAATACAAAAACAAAATAAAAGCATATATTTCCTTGTCAATAAATTCTTTGCAAAACGAAAACTCATTGTAGAATTACAACAGAAACTTTAAAAATTTTTTACTATGAAGGTTAATATTTGGTATGGTGTCCATTAGCATCCATGACTGCCTTTAGCCGACGCGGCATTGACTGTATTAGTCCATTTATATTGTAATATTCAGGAATTTTCTGCCATTCTTCTTGTATTGCTTTGACTAAAGCGTTTTTATTGGTAGGACCGCGTTTTGCAACCTTTTTCTTCAATAAGGCCCACAAATTTTCTATGGGATTTAAGTCTGGACATTGGGGAGGAGCGTCAATAACTTTGCTGCAATTATAAAGCAACCAGGTCCTGCAAAGTAACGATTTGTGTTTGGGGTCGTTGTCCTGATACAACTTATACTTAAGTTTATTTTGAGGATTTGAGGATCAACAAACCCGAAACTTTTGGCACTCCTGGATAATTCCTTTTCATTCAGAATGTCCAAATAACATTCTTTCGTCATAGTTTCGTTAAAAATACGCAGCTCCCCAACGCCCTTTGAAGAAATACAACCCACACCATTACAGAGATCTTGCCAAACTTAACTGTTGGTATTATATTTTTTTGTTGAAGTGCAGAGTTTGGCTTTCTCCATACTTTACTGGGTCCGTCATGATGATATAACATGAATTTTGTCTCATCGCAAAAAATTACGTCGTTCCAGTACTCCTCAGCATTTGTAACATTATTAATAGAAAATGTAAGCTGCTTCTCAATGTTAACAGCAGAAAGCAATGGCTTCTTTCTGGCTACATGAGACGAGTACTTGTGGATTTTTAAGACTTTTCTAACAGTCTCGTGGCTCACTTCCTTATGACACTCATTTTTTATGTCCAATGCCAACTGCCTCAGACTTGTTTGCGGATTTTCTTCTATTTTTTTTTAAATTTTGGACTGATCGCGACTGTTGATTCTTTGGTGGTCTTCCCTTAGAATTGTTAAGGTGCAGACGATTTTCTTTTTCTGCACGATTAATTATATTATATATGGTCCTCAATTTAATATTTAACATTTCCGCCAATTCTTTTGCCGTTTTTCCCTTATAATAGTTGTAATAACCTAACTGAATTACATTATCATCAACTCGTTTTCCAGGCATGGTTAAAATCACAGTTTCTGTTTAAACGTGCACATGTCCAAATAATAAAACGTATTAAAATATTAGTGGAGAGCAAATTAAAGAAGCAGACCAATTTTTTTTTTTCGAAAATGATGTACCGTTATTTATTTTTGTTTTCCTTTTCGACCTATGTTTACATTTTGCAAAGATTTAATTGACAAGAGAATATTTTTTATTTATTTATTTATTTATTTATTTATTTATTTATTTATTCAAGATTTCGTAACACAGAAGCCTTTTTAGGCCAAAAATAGCATTACAATGTAATATTACCAAATAGAAAAAATCTTAATTATACAAATACAAATATTTATTTTATCACACATTACTATAAAATACTTTATCTTACTCTATCTTTTTTGTTTAAATTAGAGTTTAAATTTGAATTTGTTGGCTCCCCAGCCGCAAATACTTAAAGATTAAATACAGAATTATAGAATAGGCGAATAAATCGAAGAAACATCAAGTGAAAAATGGAAAATTGTAAGGCAAAGGTAAGATTATGCAAAGTTACAATTCAGTAGTAGTTAAATGGTTACATAACTTTAAACGAATCACATTATTAGAATGCGAAAAAATGCGCAGGTCAACAGGTAGGAAGTTCCAGCATCTTGCAACGCGAATTATAAAAGACTTCTCAAATTGAGAGTTAAAAATCCTTGGTAAAACAATCTGGGTATTTCTAGTGGAACGGGTAAATTTAAACATATCGCACAGAGGCAAGGGTATACCAGTTTTAATAATTTTGTAAAAAAAAGCAAATTGCGAAGGTCAATATATCGTTCGAAAGGCAATCCCAGAAACTGCTTAACAAATGGGGAAACATGATCACGCCGGCGAATATTATAGACATATCGGATAATAGAGTTAACAATGCATTTCAATTTAAGAACATTGTAATAGACAGTTCCAGATATGACTTCTATGGCGTATGAAACCAACGGCATTAATAGCGCATAAGCAATTCTGAACTTAATCCATTTTGGAAAAATGTTTTGTTTTTGTTATTTTTTGGTTTGCTTTATATAGTAATTTACATGTTTTTTTTATTAATGTCAATAGTAACTGTCACCTTTAATATAAAATAAAAGAAAAAGTGTAATAAAGTTCGTTTTTGTTTATACATTTTCAATTTAAATATCAAAATTACGACTTTTTGCATTTAGCAAAGAATTGTTTGGCAAACTGTATCTTCTTTTGTGAGAGAGTTTCTTGGTTGTTCGTTTGATTGTTTTGTGAATTTAAAGTCAATGTTGTTCTTCTACCAATATTATAAATTGCAGACACCTTCTACTCTTTTGGATCTTTTTAAGTTTTCTAGATCTGTTAGGAACCCGCAAATCATTAAAACACGTCTGACTCCTCTGTTGGAAAAATCCTTCTACGTAAAAATTGCTCACATCTTCAATAATCTGCCACATAATCTTAAGACATTTTTATTATTATTATTTGCTCATTATTTGCTCATTTCAATCATAATATTGTTTAAGAATGTTCATGGTTTTCAAATTTTAGCTGATTCCATGTTTTAGATTGGGCGAGGTAACTGTATTAATTGAAAATTAACAATTAAAAAAGTTAAATAGTATCAGCCTTGAGTTATGAATCATAACGTATGATTACAGGGTGAGATAAAAAATTACAACAAAGTCAAACGCCATACTTTTTAAGGGTGGGAATACATAAAGCGCTTATCTGGCTGGCTTAAGTCATCGGCTGGCTTCTTCGGAAATGAACAAAGGAGCCTAGGGCCAAAATCGAACTATGTCAACCCAAAACTATTTTGTTCATCTACGAAGAAGCAAGCCGATGACTTAAGCCAGCCAAATATGCACTTTATGTATTTGCAGCCTGAATTTTATTGAATGAAAGCAAAATGTGTCGGAAATAGCATCAAATTTTGGAATAAATTTATATTTGTTCGAATTGGTCACCTTTGGCACGAATTACGGCCATTGAAACCATCACACGCTGCCCGAATGTTGATTTGCGGTATTTTGGTCCATTCCCAGCGAAACGCTTGCTTGAGGTGATCGACACTTTGGTATTGTTTAATACCAACATTGCTTTCCAAAATACTCCAGACACAATAGTCCAACAGACTTGTGCTCATTTTTTTTATATTTGCCGAATGGAATATTGCGATATGTTCACCTCACGAACCATTTTTCGGCCACTGAGACGCGGGCCTCGATCAAGTAGCTTCTTTACTTTTCGAACCATTTCTGCTAATGTTGCTGTTTTTTTTTCGTTCACTTCCTTGATGTCGGGCTAGGCTACCAGTATTACGGTAACGCGCGATGATACGAGACACAAAAGATTTATTCACATTTAAATGCTGAAGTGCTCTAACGATGGTCACTTCTGGTTTTCCACCCAAAAATATAAAGAAATCACTATCACGCTAGAATTCCATCACCAACAACTTTTATTCTGGAAAATTCTGACCAAAATCCTTTTGTACGCTTGAAAACAATATAATGAGCTGTCACTGGAATAATTTTAACAGCTGTCGGACGAGTGGCTTAGATATGACAGCAGTCTGAAGTTTTTTGCAGTTTTTTCATCTCAAAAAATATTAAAAGTAGTCGGGATATGTTTTATTTATTATTTTTTGGTTTTATTATTTGTATTGCAAAAAATATAATCAGAAACATATATATAGTAAAATAACGTAACATATTTAAAAAAAATGTATCATAATTTTTAAAATTCATAAAAATATCAAACTTAATGTAGTTTAAAAACAAAAACATTTTTTTGTCGCAATGTTGCTAGAAGGCAATTTTATGAATAATAAGTTTGCTAAAAAAATAATTTGTTGTAAATTGTTTATTTATAAATCTTACAGACTAGTATTACAATATTGAATTCAATATAATCTCAAATTAATCTAGAGTTGTATAGAGAATTCGATAAAAATAAAAACAATTGAAACCATGGGTTTCCATAAGTACGTCCAGCGATATCTGATATCGATCTTAATGTTATATAGTAGAGCAAATTGAAAGATTCCAACTGAACGGGGTTTCTTCAAGACAATTGATGTACTCCAAAAAGTTATGGCAACGAAAGAATGGTTCACATGAATAATCAAATTCCTGTAAAACCATTTTTTCAGATTTGACTTTTACTTTGATTTTGAGTAGCTCTTTTGGAACTTAAGAGATTTGCTACTTAATATTTGAGGTATTCACAGCTTTGGCAAGTAATTTGCAACTAATCAGATTACCAAATTTCTTTAGGTACTAAGCCTAACTTTTAAACTGTATCCATGGATCAAAACGGCCTCAAACACTTTAATTTTTCACTCTGCTCTTGGAAAAATGTCAAGAAAATTCTGTAGTATATTTTCAATGCATATTTTATATACAAATAAAAAAGAGAGACCCAGAACAAATCCAATTATGAATTCTGCTCCCAGTCTTTAGCTGCAACCAATAGGCCAACCTTGCAACCTACATACCTATAACTTTGTATAACAAAATTTATATTCCCGAGAGGGTCATTCGAAGAGCTTCTCTAATAATGGAAGAATCATTGTTTTATAATTTACGGCAAAATTGAAGTTAGGTGCCCAACCCAGCACCATCATGGAATTCCTAACATATTTTCGAAAAAAAAGCCATGTTAGTTTCCAGATATACATCAAACACTGATAGAGGAACTTTATACTAACCAACTATAAAAAGGCGTCTTTTATATTGCATCTGGTAATTGATTCTGGTTGGATGACAGCGATGTGAATGGAAGCCCACATTCTATGACTTGAAACTCTTGCCTCCCACGAAGAAATTACAAATTCAAAACGGAAACCTTTTTATGGTGGGGAACTTTCCTCCCGAATTTGGGGTCTACGTGAATGAAGTGTGATAGCCAGCATTAAATTGTTGTTGTTGTGTTGCTGTAAAACTTGTTGGATGTCCATTGACAAGATGCGTATTTTGAACGTAGTTATTTGTTTGGAAATGGTTCGGTGGATAATTATGATACGGTCGACTATTGTTTACTGTCGAAGTAGACATTTGCGTAACGCTAGGAGAGGTGGTGTAGGTGGAAGAAGAATATTGCGGATTTGAATTGAGTGACGTTGGATTGTAATGAGTGGTTTGATAGGTTATATGATTGTTAGAATATTGGTTTGAAGCATTCGCCGCTGTTGTTGCGGCATGGACAAAATTATTTCTAGGATATTGAACTTGTTGTTGAGTGGGTTGATGTGGAAAATTGTTATTTGAATAATATTGTATTGGATGTGTGGCGGCTGCCGTTGTTGGTGGCTGATTTGCGGGCATTCGAACAATATGTTGTTGCCGAATGTTGTGTGGTACACCATTGGACGTTACAGATCCAATTCTTGCTATGCTATTTGGCATCAATTGTATGTTGGAAATATTTGCATGGGAATTGGGCGGGACACTATGTAATATATTCCTGGAGCCCAATTGCACCGCATGCAGTGGTGGATTTGCCTGACCATATGCCATACTCATTGGGACATTGGAGTTTTGGGGTATTACAGAATGCGGATGAGAAGAGCTGGGAATATTATATGGTTGGTTGATTGCTGGAGGCATTTGAAGATGGGTTAAATGTGAGGCACCATTGACATTTGCCGTAGTTGAGGATATATTTGAATTTTGGGTTGACATTTGTGCGTGGGAAAAATGTTGCGGCATTGTCTTCTCTCTCAAACTGTCCATGGCTATACATTTTAACATAGGCTTATATTCTTGTTCCATTTTTTCCTGATCTTTTACATGATTCTCAACAATAATGTCATCATCATCTAAAATTACAACGCTATCATCATTTTCCATTATTTCTTCGGGTTCTGGTTTTATTTGCACCATTGGTTGCTGCTGCAAATGCAGCACTACTTCTTCTCTGGTATCAATGTCTAACTCAAAGTTGCTTACGGATTTAACTTTTATATTATACTTCGAAGCCAGTTCACAACGGATTTTCAATGTATTGACTCTGTGGACTTTACTGAAATGATCCTTAACCAATTGCAGTGATTCAATGGGTAAATTACACCACTCACAAAAATATTGCAGCGAGAATTTGTGATAACGTTTCAAATGCAAAATATACGCATCGCCCTTCATGCCCTTCTCTTCGCAACAGAAACAATTGCGCATTGTACTAAACGATAGACATTTGCTGGCAAACACAATGGCCAGACGGATATAGATTTGTTTTTTGACTTTGATTAGATTTATAAGCGGTACATCGCGACAATCGTGTTTTTCTCGTATGTGGGTTGCCATTTTTGAGCGATTGTAAAAGTAGGCGGAACAGGCACCGCATATAAAGAATGTGCTATCGAAATGTTGGTGAATGTGGGCCAGGATATCATCCCAGTGTTGACAATTGACAATACTAAAGTCACATTGGCGACAACTGAATGTTGAACCAGAGATTTTGTGTTTTTCACGAACATGCTGAAACAGTTCCGCCGCTTCGATGGCACGAAAATCACACTTTCCATTGAAACATTTCTTCTTCAATTTGCGACAAATATCTGTGGGAAAATCTTCCAACCAGTTTGGACTATCCTCCGTGGGTATCAGCCAGCTATTTTTATAACTCTTCGACTCCCTAGATTCCAGTTCACGTAGACGTTCGTCTAACAAATTCAAGATATTCGGTATAAATTCTGCACGCTCTTTTAACTTATCCAATGGGAGCAAAATAAAATAGGAATAACTTAAATTAAAACGTATTCTCTCTGAACGCATTGCACCGTATGAATTTACATGTCCTGTGCTAGAAACATGGGCCATCGCCTCCTCATTGCTTGCAAAGGTAAGGGGACAATGATAACAAAGATAGAGATGACGGCGGTGATTTTCGAAATGTGTTTTAAATTCTTCTAACGGCAACAGTTTTTCGCCGGGACAATGTGGACATGCACACTCCAAACAGCAGTGTTTGGTTCTCATGTGTCTTAACCATAGATCGTAGATGGAAAAGAAACCACCACATGATTGTTCGGGACAACGATACAAACAATCCGGAGCTATGCCAGTTTTTTCTGTTAGTTTTCTTAGACGTATCTTTAGGGTTTCTTCTTGGCATTTCAATAGTTCGTCGGCGTTTGGTTTAACATCTTCAATGACATTGGCTTTGCTGTAATCAATTAGCCTTGTAATCGGTTCGCTTAGTTGTAACAAGTGCAGCTGCTCCACTGAATCCTGGAAGGGATAAAGAAAACAATACAAATAAATATTTGAAAACATTTTGAAGATTTGCGAAGGCAGACTTACCTCTTGTGATATTTCAGCGCTATTATGATCACGAATATAGGCAAATTCATTTGGATGACATAGAGCCAAGTGCTTTCGCAGCACGAAATCATCATTGGCTTTGAACGTACAGTATAAACACGAATAGTATTTCGAATGCTTTTGTATTTTGTGTTCGTTTAGCATGTGATGTTTCAAAAAATTGGAATTGTAGTAAGAGTATTGGCGACAGTCTGAAAATGTGAAAATAAATTATTTTGGATATTAGAAAGAATCCAAAAAAAATTAAAAAATAATAAAAACCAGTAAAGAAAGTCTTAAAGTCGGCCGGGGCTGTCTTTTTAATACCCTACGCCATTTTACATATTTTGTAGAGCTTAAAGTTTTTATTGGAAGTATGTGAGAATTAAATTATACCAACTATGATTATTATTTTAATTTTAAGTCCAAAGGAACTAATATATGAGAGGAATATCCTTCTCTGAAACGATTTCTAATAAATTTGCCGAAGCATTTGTGCCTTTCCAATTCGGCCTGACTTGAAATCGGACAAAGATATATATGGGAGCTATATCCAAATCTGAACCGATCTCGATATAATTTATATTTGAGAGCTATATCTATATCTGAACCGATATATCTAACCAAATTTGGCATACTTGTTTCTAGCCTCAATTTGGTGCCAAATTCCATTCCATTTGGGCCAATATTACACGTTTGGTGCACAATAAAAGGCAAATCGGACGAAAATATATGTGGGAACTATATCCAAATCTTAAGCAATCTCGATAAAATTCAGCAAGGGAATTTCTGAGTTGTATTTGTTATATTTCCCCGAATATCATTGTTATAGATTGCATATTACGGCTGCGGAGTACAAAAATAATAAATCGGATCAAGAATATATATGGGAGATATAGCTATATCTGAACCGATTTCGATCAAATTTGGCACACTCATTTTCAGGCCCGATCTGGTCGTATGTGCGAAATTTCACACTATTTGGGCTGATAATACACGTTTGGTGCGCAATATAAAGCAAATCGGACAAAGATGTATATGGAAGATATGTCTAAATGTTGACCGATTATCTCCAATTTCAATAGGGTTCGTCCTTTGGTCAAACAAATTATTTGTGCAAAATTTTATCCGAATCGGTCAAAAAATGCGACCTGTACATTGTTTACAAAACAACATGGACAGACGGACGGAAAAATTTGCACATATCTCATATAATGTAAAGGAAGTAGTCGATATAGTCGGTAATATTTTTATCAGTCTTAGGTCAGATACGAATTGGTCAATATTGGCCGACTGCTTCGGAAGCTCCCAAATAAAGAGTTAACAATTTGAATAATCATAACTCAAACCTGGGGGTATACATCTGTCGGCAAAACCGACTGATGCTATTTTACTCGATTATGACGAAAGACGTTTTCTCTTTATTTACAAAACCCCTAAAACTTAACAGGCATATTCCCGGGTGCAAGGTGCTATAAAAATTGATATCCCCAAGTTTATTTCTACGGTTTTGTAAAAGCATGGTTCTATAAAATATTTTGTAAATTCAGATGATGCCTAATGATTTTAAGTATTTCTTAACGTTATGGAAACTGTATTCTTTGATTGATTTAATAAACAAATATAAAAATTATTCTCTTTCTTTTAATACTTACATTCACATGTAATTTTTGGAGCATTCATTTTCAACTTTTCTCTGCTAGTCTCTTCACAAAATGCCGCTTCCTCACCGTGACATTTAAATACTTTAAGTGAATCATTTCCATCGAGTCCACTGCAATGTTTTTCCCTTTGATGTACCAGTACATTACAGCCATCGATGCTACGATAACAGCATTCCGAACATTGGAACAGCATACGACTGTGATCGTTTTGAATATGTCCAATTAATGTTTCAATTGAAGATATCTGCCCTTGGAACGAACAATAGGCACACTGCAGGCATAGGCTTTCATCTGTATGAGATTGTAAATGGTGTTGAAATTCCTTCGGGCAATCCGTGGAAAAATAACAATCGTCGGTTAGACACTTGAATAGGCCCAGATATTTGACATGCATTGGATAGCAACGATACGAAAGTCTGTATGGAGGACTAATACCACTCTGATCTATATATTGTCGTGGTGGGTGTGATGGTGGTGGTGTTAATCGATTATCTTCATCATCGTTCATGGGCTCTGGCTCTGGTTTAATTGCCAAAGGTTTCAAACGATTACTGATAGCCTGTACGGGATTAGAATTAAAATGTATAGTGGTCATGGGCGGAGTCGGAGGCGTCTGTAGATCTTCATGCATTTGTTTCAATTGTTCATCTAGGGCACATGTGGCCAAGTCATAATTCTCCTCTGCCGCAGTCGCCGCCTCTTCCTCATCCATACAGGGCTCATTACACACGAGTATGTTATCATCCATTAATTCCAGTTTTGTTTCAATTTTGGGAACTACGCCCTCACTGGGTGTTGTTTCTGCTGAATCCTGACGTTCGATGGTATTACTGCTGTCTGGACCATCACTTATGGCTGCCAATATACATTTCTTGACATTATCCTGTGTTGCCTGTCGCGCATCGTGATGCTCCCTTAGATGCTTGAAGATATTCGCCTCATTCAATTGCACAAAATTACATATGTTACAGTAGTACAGGTAAATAACTCTGGCATCCGCTTTGTAACGATACAGGATTTGGGTTTTTGCATTGCTACACCTCTTCTTATTCAGCTGATGTATCGTGATAAATTCCCTATAGGGACGGCTGTACTTACATTGGCCACATTGGTATGCAAATTCGCCAGTGTGGCTGGAATAGTGGTCGTAAAACTTGTGGAATATCCCCTTGATTTGTGTTTCGCAAAATTGGCATTTAATCGAGTACTGGGGCAATGCGCCCGATAGCTTACCACCACTGACTGCTGTGGCGAATGGTGTATTTAATAGCAATTCATCTAGCTGGGACCATGATAGGCGGGCAACATAGGATTCAGTTTTATGTTTTCCTACAAAATGATTTGTCAAATCCGGTGACTTGCTATTGCACAGGACACAAATTCTGGTATTTTTTTCAAACATTTGACAGTCATTGTTTAGAATTTGTGGTAGAGGTTTTCTATTGCCCGACGTCGATGGAGTCACATGCTTTGTGGATGTTGGAATTAATTGAACCTTTAGAATACTTGTGTCCAATGCGGAATCTCCATTATTTTCGGTAGACTTCTGGACTATGGTGTATTTTTCGATTTCTTTTTGGGTTAAACGTTTCAAAATAATCTTGGGCACCTTAAGGGGTATTATTGGTTTTGTTTCGCCATCATTGGAACTGGAGTATCCTATTCTATGCTCGCAATCATCGCCATCCACATCCATGGCGTTGTGAAAATTGCCCTCAGTTGTTTTTCTTCGCTCTGGCAGCATATCTGCTCTAGCTTCACCATTGTCTTCCTGTGAACTTAACTGATGGGCAATGGCATTGTGGGCCTGCATGCTGGATTGTCGTTTTTGATGTTCAAAATGGGTATCAATGGTTTTGCGGCGTTTTCTCAGTTGAAAGGATGATATTAAACTATCACTGGAAGTTTGTGAGGAACTTATCTCTGTTGTGGATTCTTCATCTACATTTAATTGTTCCGAAATAACTGAACGGGCATGTACACTGGAACGTCGCTTGCCGCCAATTGCTTTGGGCATATAATCCATTATTTGATCGAAGCCCTTAACCGTACATTCTAATTCCCTGTAGACTCGATTCATTTCGCGGGTAATATCAACTTTTCTGTTGCCACCAGATGAGGATGATGACCGGGAGGATTTTGCTTTCTTGGATTTGTTAGCATTTGATGACTTCTTGGTGGGAGTAGTTTTTTGGTGTTCCTCTTTGGTGTTATGGCAATCCATTACATTTTCTTTTAGGTCTTCGGATGGTCTTCGGGTTGGTGACTTTTTATCACTTTCCATGCCATTGGTTAGTTTTTCAGAAACATCCAAGTCTGTAATTTTTTTATGGCCGTTGGGTTTGCTATTATTTTTCTTTTCATTCAATAAGGACTTGGCATTCTCCTTGTCCACACGTTTGTGTGAATTTTGTTTGCCATAATTTGTTTCACTTTCCGTTTCAGAGCTGTTCTTCCGAGCATTTTTAAAGGAATCCCTTAAAGCATCTATTTCACTTGGCTGTAGGGTACTCAGCAGAATCGAACGTATTTCCTCGGTGGATTTAAGGCTATTACGTTTTTCGATATCCTCAAATGTACGTTTGTCCATTTCCTGTCGCTTTTTTTCTTCTTCCTTACGTTGATGTTCGGTCTGACGCTTTTTTTCATCATCTTCACGAAGCTTTTGTAATCTCTCCATTTCTTTTCGATGTTTATATTCCTCCATAGAAATTGTGGTGGCCATGCCCGCAGGCTTAGCCATTGCGGGTTTTGGTGTATTTGCTTTTATGGGATTCTTTTGCAGTTCGAAAGATTTGGTATTATTTGGGCGGGATAAATGCGGGGCTGGATACTGTAACGGCTGTGTGTTTTGAGGGGTTGCTGATGAAACCGGGTCATTAAATTTGTTTAAGGGCACATTGGGCGGCATCGATTGGATTGGTTGTGCCTGAATATTGCTAGGAATTTGAGGCATTGGAACTTGCCCAAATTTGGTTAACATCATTTTTTGTTGTGGTGTCAGCAGAGGTGAAGCCTTAAATTTATTTATTAAATTTTTTATTCTTGGATCATTGAGATTTAGACGTCGTTGGCAAGGAGGAGCAGGGGCATATTGTGGTGAATTTGGATAAGCATGCGGCCCAGCATTTGATTCATAATTTGGATGGGGTATTGGTTGATGGATCATTGAAGGTGATGGAACTTGATTATATTGTGGATATGGCGTTGCTGCTGCTGGAGGATTGAAGTGAGGTTGATAGTATTGTTGTCCTCCTGTTGAATGCAATGGTAAATTGCTATTCGTCGGCAAAACGCTAGTAGGATTTGCATTAGCATTTTCATTATTTGGATGGGAATTATCAATGTTGGCAGATAGGGCTGGAGCAGCTCCTACATCCTTAGGTTTCTGTTCTTCATTGGCCCTCAAACGCTTTATAATTGTCTTTAAGAGTAAATTTTCCAAAATAGTACTTTTACTTTCGCTGACTTTAATAATACAAGTCAGAAGATCTTCGCAATTAGAATTGTCCAGGCTTTTTAGGCTAATGTCATTAATGGCTGAAATTATTGTTGGATCTATTGAGGACTTGGTTTCCTCTTCAACTGAATTTGTTGCAGTTGGAGGACTGGGAACAGTTTTATTACGCTCATCAGTTTGGTTATTGTTTTCAATCGATTTTCGAACATTTGAACGCCTGGTAAACAAGGGTTTCTCCTCTAGCACGGGACTTGGCTTCTCTGCGCCTAGTTGCTGCTGGGATACTTTCTTTACAGTTTCTTTTATTGGATTAGGGTTAACCTCTTCGTCATCACTTGAATCGTCTAAAGAAATTGTATCCACAATTGGTGCTTCAGATTTATTAATTTGTTTATTAGCAGGACTTGTTTTCGAGGAGACTCTAGTGTCTTCATTGCTCATTTTTTTCTTACAAATTGTTGGTGACTTTTCGACATTTTTAACGAAATTATCTTCATCACAGATATTGTCTATTTCATCCAATAGACTCTTTGTAACATCATCTAGATTTTTGGCTTTGGATGATTCTGCTTCTTCTTTTGTCTTTCCTTTGACATCATTCTTTGGCTGTTTGGCCTTGTCGGCCGTTGAAGTTGGATATGAAACAGATATTATTTCCAAATCATCATCACTTTCAAGGCTGATTTCCTTTGTTTTCGAAGCTTCTGAAGGACTTTTAGCTGATTCTTTATCTGATTTCTTTGTGGTATTTTGTTTTTTGGCTGTTTCTTTATCTGTTTTCCTTGAGGTGTTTGGTTTTACAACAGTTTCTTTATCTGTTGTCCTTGAGGTGTTTGGTTTTTCTTGTCTTTTCGAAACTGTACATGTTTGTTGTTTCTTATCCTTAGCCTCCTCCCCTTCATCCTCATCGTCTGAACAAAGATTAACGAATTCAGCTTTAAATTCTTTACTAAAAATGTTCATTATTTCGGCAGGAACTTTCTGAAAAATAAAATAAAAACTATCATGATAATATCTAGACATATGAATTTGTATTTCAGCCTCCTTACCCTATCATCCATAACAAGCAGATTTTTGTACTGTGTTATGATAGATTGTTCGATTTTCTTTAAATCATTAAGTGGATATCTGAAAATATTCAAATAAAAATATTATTTATTTAATATTAAATGAAAGATTATTGTAAAGCATGTTGCAACATATACACATTAATTGCGGAGTCTTTAACTAAACTTACAAAATTTAATAAATATTGTCAAATAAAACCCTTACCTCTTTTTGTTAACAATCCATCGTTTAATGTCAACGAATTTTACATATTTGCCTCTGTCTATTTCAAGGATATAATCTATAAATGGTATATACTTCATCAAAGCCTCTAGCTTTTCTGTTATTTGTTTGTCCATATTCGCAAGGTCTGTATCCATTCTGAAAGTGGAACAATAATAAAAAAAAATTATTATTTTTTATTATTTATAATAAATATTATAATTTATTTCCAACTTGTTTAGGATTTTACTTTGAAATTAGACAGACAGAAGTTCATATATTTAAGGTTACAGTGATACTTCAGTATACAATTCAATATATATAATACGATTGGTAAATGAAAACTCCTAAAATGATGGCAAATTATTGAAATTTGTTCAATTCCTCTTCAACTTCTTGAGGCCAATATCAAAACGAGGACTAATTTAAAAAAAATCTTACAAAGATTGTCAAAACCTTTAAAATACTTCAATCGGGTTTTATCATTATGCAAGGACTATCTCGAAACGTGAACCGATTTCTTATTCTAATTAACGGTATTACCATTTATTCAGAATCTCAAATACCAAGTTTTGGCTAATTTTATTGAAGAATGTGGCCGAAACCGGAAAAATAACACAAAATCGGAAGCGATCTACAAAGAACCTTACATGCCAAACTTCAGACACTTCTATCGGATATTTTCGGAAGGATTACCAATTAATCTTAATAAAATACCGTAAAGTAGATCGATATTGGCTATCATCGAACGTGACCTCTGGGATAATTTTATAATATGCAGGTATATTAAGTTTGTCATTCCGTTTGTAACACCTCGATTTTATGCTTGATCAGCATAAAATTCTATGTCGATTTAGCGATGTTGGCCCGTCTGTGGAAATCACTCGATCAAGTCGCTTCTTTACGTTTCGAACCATTTCTGATGTTATTGGCTACGCTAGCAGTATCACGGTAACGGTCGATGGTACGAGACACAAACGATTTATTCACATTGAAATGATGTAGTGCTCTAACGATAGCCACTTGTGGTTTTCCAGCCAAGTAAAAAGAAATCACACTATCACGCTTGAATTCCATCACGAACAACGTTTTTTCTAAAAAATTCTCTTTAAATGAGCTGTCACAGAAATAATTTTAACAGCTGTCGGACGAGTGGCTTAGAAATGACAGCAGTCTGAGGTTGTTTGCAGTTTTTTTTTTATCTCACCCTGTATTACAATTAGTTTTCGTATTATACACTCTGTGTTTTCTTCGCAACAAGAAGTCGTTTTTACTACAGATTTTCCTACACCAAGTTGACTTAAGCATAACCGAATCGAAAAGATTACATTTTTCTTCTCAAACACTCGATTTGATTCGTTCATTTGCTCATTTATTAACGAATCAAACCTACTGTTGAACATTGCTGAATGAAAACAACCACCAAATGAATAGCAAGTGTAAGAGTAATACTGAGTATAGAAAACGGGAGAGCGAAATGAAAATAACCAGAACTTAAGAGTAAAATAAACAGTAGCTTTTCTAGTTGTTTATTTTTGTCCTTTTACAGATGTGAGAGAAAAAATGCAAAACAAGTCAGGGGGCACCACTCTCTTTGTGCCTATAAGCATCCTATTGTTGCCCTGGTCTAGAATTTAGACATTTGCACATCAAAAAGAAATCAACTGAAACTAAACTGTTTTTAAATCATTTATACTCAAAAAAACCGCCGGTGTATCTGTTCCCTTCGATCATTTACTCAGACGCATTCAACACAAAGACGATGACGACAAAAATAAGTTGATTATCTACCACTCGGAAGGACCTAAAATTTGTGCTGATTACATTTTACCGCAAAAATGCGGTGGCCGCAAGCCGGTCACTGCTTAGCACACATCTGTTTTACTTTTACAATTTACTAATCGACGCCTTCTACTCACTAGTATTCACAAATTCTCATCTATACTTGGAAGCTTCGAGAATCTTAATCACTACAAACAAACTAATGCCCTTAAACAAAAAGGGTGTTAGTGATTATAAATACGAGTGAGTAAAAGCAAATGATTAATGTTCTGAACCAGAGCTCGAATTTGCTCGATTTTACTCACGAGTGAAATATACTCACTTGTAAAAGTGCTAGAAAATTACGAGTTTTATAAGAAGTTTACACTCCACTCTAATGTTTTATGTGGGAGTGCTCGAGAGTACTCCTGTTTTACAGAGTAGAGTAGTAGTTTACTGTAATGGTGTAACAGATCGGAAACATATTTATGGATTTGTGTGTGAGGTAGAAAATAGAATTTGATGTTGTCCTTGACGGTAAGGTGGAAATCATGTACAAAAGCCAAGAGAAAAAACAATGTTATAAAGATTTGGTGGATTATTGGATTATGTTTACAAAAACCACAAAACAAACAACACTGTCACATTTATCATTTTTTTTTCTTCAACGTTCTTGGTTTGTATGTAGCTGTAGATTGACAAAATGCAAACTTATGCTAGCAGGAGTACACCCACTTGATTTCGACCTCAATACTCTAATTCGAGCAAGAATTTTGAAGACAACACAATGAATGACCTAGTTCGACTGAACAATTCACTGAAAAAAGCTTCTGAATTAGGACAGTCAATCGTGTTCTACGAACAAAATTTAGTGATCGAACAATTACTAAGTTCAATTGCTAGCTCAGATATTCATTTACTTATGAGGTTACGCAATCTCCTGCGCATGCCCTGCTCAGTAAGTGTAATCAGTTTTAAGATTTTTTTGTTATAAAAAAATCGAATCGAAAATTAAACACCCATAATTTTAATTTCAAATGTTAATTTTGTGAGTTATTTGTGTCTCAGAAACTTAACATTTGAAATTAAAATTATGGGTGTTTAATATTGGATACGATAAACCATGCCATGACCATGAATTCCTAAGAGCAACAGTAATCGGAAACCACATCAGCAATGCTAGTCGTTCATAACTCGGCAACATCCAACAACGTAACCGCAGCACACTAAATAGACGAAATTGTACGATCAACCGCCACTCCACACAACAACAAAAAAGGTGCAACCACGTAGTTGCATGACCAGTTAAGTCACAACCCCACCGGCCAAAGGCGAATCAAATGAAAGATCGTTCAGAGATTACCTATTTATCATCACCTTTAGTAGGCCGAAATTAGTGGACGTCAAATGTTTAATAAAAAAAATTAATACAAAAATCTCTGAAATTAATTGGTTAAGGTGGTAATAACAGTTGACATGCCTATTTTGCATAAACACTCCCAATAACACTAAGCTGTCATTCCTTGCCAAGAAGTTCATACATGAATATTTCGAGGTAAGGCAGTCATAGTGCTAAAAAAAGGCGAAAATTCCTTCAAAATTGACATAGAACTAAAGAATTCTATAAACATTTTTTTATTGTATGCACATGGAACTTTATTATACTTAAGCATATAATTTAAAGAACAATAATTCATAATAGTAATATAAAGTAATATTTTTGAAAAATTGATTTTTTCAGCTTACCGAAAAATCTTAATTTTTACCAATGATTCATTATTTTCATATCAATTATCAACGAGTACTGCAAAAGTATTGTGTCGCAAGTTAACCCTCCAATGCATTTCATTATAATCCATTGATACTCCTTCCATATTATCTTGTAGTTTATTGAGAACAAAAATAGATTTGTTTCTTCCCAGCACAAATTTGATATTTATTGAGATCAAAAATTAATTGGTTTTTCGTAGGTATTTGGTCCTTACGCCATTTTCCAAATGGGATTTTTTCTTTTTATTTCAATTTAGTATTGTTGTTTTCCATATCTTCTTTTTATTTCAATTTACATTGCTCACGAAACTATGAAAAAATACAAAATTATATTTTGTTTAAAAACCAAAACCAATGGCAAAATGTGTGATTTTAGGATGGGAAATATGCATTTGAGGTGGGAATATAAAAAATGAAGTTAATTGCAATTAATACGCACTACACAAACGCTTTTTTTTAAAAATAATTTGAACAAAAGAATCTACATGATACTTAATATAATTAGAAAATAAACGAGGTAATAAAAAAATACTACTGGTGAGAGATGCAGTTACTTATTTTTACAAATGTAAGAGATATCACAACTTGTGGTTATGCAATTATCATTATTTTTATTGTTAAGCGTTGCCGACATAAGTTTAGCTCTTTATTTTAGGCGTTCCGTTCTCTTTATACTTTTTAACTATTGTTAGTATTACAAAAATGTAAGCATTGAAAACGAAAGAGGGAAGGGCATTTTTTCTCAACGAACTTTTTCAACTTCTTCAGAAGTTTACTGTTTTAAAATCGATAGGATTACATTGCCATTAAATACTGGACATCACAACACACCATTTTGCATAATTTGAAAACAATCTTAATAAAAATGTTATATACAATTATAGCGCAGCGATAAATGCGAACTATTGCTTTAAGATTTAATTTTTTTCTGATAATCACAGTCTTGATACTTAACAAAATATTATTTGGGAAAATAATTCACAAACTAATCTCAAAACGTTCATAGTAACATAGACCTACGTAGTCAAAAACGAAAACCCACTCGATTTTTTCCTTTAACGAAAGCGTTAACTTTTCAATATTGCATTCTTTCCCAATAAGTTAAAGATCGGTTACTTTTATACATAACCATTTTGGGAAATTTTGCGATAAATTTCATTAGTTACAAATATTACATGTAATTGAAAATTCAACTACAGGTTTATTTCTGCCAACCAGTTGCTTATTTTTAAAGGAATAGAAAATTAAAACATTAAACATTAAGAAAATACTAATCGTTGTATATTACTTCGCTCATATGAAGGTTAAAAATAAAAATTCGACTTTGTTTTCCAAAGGCTAAGTTGACTCCCACTTTTAATTTTTAACATCAAAAGTCTATTAATAGATTTATCGAACGTAGACTTACGTATCCCTAATTAGCACATTGTCAGATTTAATATTACGTTACTCTATCTATCCCTTTCTACCACATGTAACTTATATGATAAACATATCCATCAAGCGTACACATAAACAAGTGAACACCACTGCACACACAGAATATTGATTACAAAAACAAAAAAAAAAGCAAGTAAAAAAGCTGTAAGTTCGGCCGGGCCGAACTTTTAATACCCTCCACCATTTGGTACAAATTTGGCAATTTCCAAAAAAAAAAAAAAAATAAAAACCGTTAAAAATTCTGTTAAAATCTTAAAAATACCGAATGCCTGTACGGCGACGTAGACCTTTTGTTATAAGTTATTACAATATTTAAATGCGAAACTTGAAGAATAATCTGTTTATAATTGAGCTAAAATCATCAAAATACCGTGTACAAAATACTTTGTACATACTTTTGAGTGCGATTGAGGCGCTGGGAAAATGTAGCAATAAAAAATAAATGTTCTAAAATTAAATATTTCCCAGCCGCCATAAAATATCACATGTGAAGAATTCAGTGATCTTGTGCGCTGACGCATACGATAATGCGTGAGATAATAAAGGTTATGACCCACACGCACAGATATCGATGCGCTCAGTAGATGTGCAAGACCACTTGAATGAAATGACAAGTAGCCCAGCAATGTTCTCCATTCAATATTAGAATAGATAAGAATAACAGTGTGTGGCTGCGACTATGTTAAGTTAGATTAGTTTCAGTAGTACGTAAGGAACTTATTTTTTAAATAAAATCAGAATTGAAATAACACCCTAACGAAGCGGTCGGTTTTCTTTTCTCACCGAAAACTGAATAGAGTTGACAATCGAAGTGGGAGATTGGACACTATTCTACTTTACAACCGAATACAGGGGGTACCGTTATATGGGGGCTATACGAAGACGTGGACCTGCACAGACAATTATCTGGCATGGGCTGAAGTATCGATTACGAACTTCACATGCGAAATTTGAAACAATCCCGGTAAATAATGTCGCTAAAATCATCAAAATAACAAATGTCGGAAGGTACCTTTACATGGGGCTATATGAAAACGTGGACCTACATGGCCCATTTTCAATATCAAAAGTTCTGCAGATATAATACACATTTGAGTAAAATTTTGTCAATCCAATTAATTTCGTTCGGAAGCTAGAATGATTTCTACAGACGGACGGACATCGCTAAATTGATAAAGAATATATATAATTTGTGGGTCTAAAATGAGGTGTTACAAACGGAATGACAAACTTAATATACCCTCCATACTATGGTGGAGTGTATAAAAAGCACGTAAAAATATCTCCCATTATTCTTCTGGACGTTTTGTTACAAGAAACATGCTTTATGTTAGCAAAATTATTAAAAAACATTAAATATAAGCTCAATATATTTTTTTTTATTTATGGTGGAGTGTATAAAAAGCACGTAAAAAATATCTCCCATTATTCTTCTGGACGTTTTGTTACAAGAAACATGCTTTATGTTAGCAAAATTATTAAAAAACATTAAATATAAGCTCAATATATTTTTTCTACAAAAGCTATCTTTAATTTATGTTTTTTAATATTAACGGAACAACAATGCGTACATCTCCGTGTATGTCTACACTCGTTGAAGTCTCATCAACGACTGAGACCAGCTAATGAGCAGACAACAAAGCGTATCGATTTTTGCGTCGGCGGCTTATCAGTTGTAAATGAAACGGACGCGGCGGCGCGCTGTTAATTTTGTAGTCCGCTGCGAGATTGTGGCACAGAATAAAAATAATTAATAACCATTGTTTTTATAAAACTTTGGGAAACAATTATCTTCGCAAGATATTTGCCCAGTTATTTGGCACGCCGCTGTTTTACTATCGACTCAATTTCACCTCTGGAGGTGAGTTGAAAAAAGGCCAAAGATCATTTGGCTACAAGCAATAACAACAACTACAAATTTTGACATATCATGGTGCGTTGATGTGACTACGCATCTGTCTTGCCTGCAAGATTCAATGGTTTTCGATACGGGAACGTGAAAATGGTACAAAATAGTAGCAGGTTCTGGAACACAACTAATATTATTTTTCTGAAAAAATGTATTTACATTTGGTCTGTATTTACACCATAACTATTGTAAAAACTCTTAATTTCGTTGATCAATTCCTTTATAAAACGCGTAATTTATGTGTCAGTACAAAGCTGATTCTAATATACCCTTCATGAATACATTACATAAATGTAATGCAGTAAATTAAAACACAAATTCTCAAAATGATAACACATCAATGAAAAGGAATGCAACGACAAACGAAAATATGAAAAAATATGTACACGAATATGCAGGCACGTATGTACAACGACAACAAAAATTCTCACACACAACAGGAAGCCGATAAACACTCACAACCACTGTCAAAAATACACAGAGCAATGAACACAATAAAATGCTTGAAAAGTGAACCTACATATTTTTGGTTCTTATTCACTAAAAAAAAAATAAAACACTCCGCGAAACGAAATGACTTACTACACTCACTTCTTATTTAATACTGTTGTGTGTATCCATCAAGAATTGTTTTGATAGATATGCGATTACTTTATGTTGCGATGGCAGTTTCATTTCGATAACAATGACAAACGATAAATGTAAATATACTGTACCAACACATTAAAACTCTACCACAGGTATAGTTTGTGGCTTTGCTATTGTCATCACATGGTGTTTTGTTGATACAGTACTGGGTGACCCAATACACTAACGAACGGGTGACTCAATTAAAACAAAAAATAAACGTTGAAAAAATTATGGAAAATTGTGGTTCAGTTTTCTTGTGAGAAACATTTTTAGTGATTATTTGATAGGTAGAAAAATGCAAATGTTTCCGCACAAAGACCAGATGGTACATCAGTTGTAGCATCCATTATGAACTTCAAATACTAAATTAAAACAAATCCGGTGAATAGTGTCAATAAAATCATCAAAATACCGAATATCGGGAGGTATCGTTATATGGGGGCTATACGAAGATGTAGACCTGTATACAAAAATTTTTCGTCATAGGCTGTAGTACCCTTTACGAACTTAGAATACGAAATTCCGGAAAATATAGTCGCAAAAATCATGAAAATACCGAATATCGGGAGGTACTTTTGCCATGAGCTATAGTAAAGCTAGGAATACATAAAGCGCTTATTTGGCTGGCTTCTTCGGAAATGAACAAAGGAGACTAGGTCCAAAATCGAACTAGGTCAACCTAAAACTCCTTTGTTCATCTAGGAAGAAGCCAGCCGATGACTTAAGCCAGTCAAATATGCTCTTTATGTATTTCCAGCCTTATATTGGAGCTATACGAATACTTGGACCTGCATAGACAATATTCTGTTAAAGGCTGTAGTACCTATTAGGAATTTCTAATACAATATTTCAAATAATTTCGATGAATATTGTACCTAAAATCGCTATAAAATATCAAATGCGAACAATTCGGTAACCTTGTGCGCTGACGCATACGATACGATGTATGAGATAATAAAGGTTATGACCCACACGCACAGATATCGGTGCGCTTAGTATATGTACAAGATCACTTGAATGAAATGACAAGCAGCCCTGCAATGTTCTGCATTCAATATTAGAATAGATAAGAATAACTGTGTGGCTGCGATTAGGTTAAGTTAGATTCGTTTCAGTAGTACTAAAGGAACATATTATTAAATAAAAACTAGAATTTAATCTACACCCAAGCGAAGCGGTTGCATTCTTTTCTCATTATTTTACATTGTTCCAGTTTAGCCGAATAGAGTTGACAATCGAAGATGGAGATTGGATTCTTTTCTCATTTACAGGGAGGTACATATATATGGGGCCTATACGAAGACCTGGATCTGCAGTATCCGTTACAAAATTGAAATACCAAATTTGAAACAATTCCGGTGAAGAATGTCGCTAAAATTATCAAAATACCGAATATTGGGAGATACCGTTATATAAAGGCTTTACGAAGACGTGGGCCTGCACAGACAATTTTCTGTCTTAGGCTGAAGTATCCACTACGATCTTCAAATACCAAATTTGAAACATTTCCGGTGAATAATGTCGCTTAAATCACCGAAATACCGAAAAAGAGAGGTACCATGTTAGCCATACCAGAAGTAGCCTTAGCAGCTTCAATGCAGCTTCATCATGATTTAGCCATGACTTGTGGCAGAAAGCTAAGATTTTGTACTGAGCTGTCTTTTATTTACAGCCAAACTCAAAGCTCATTAAAGAAATTGTTCGAAATTTGGTATAAAAGTTATCTATATTCTGGCCATATTTGATATTTTCATGAGTTTTAATATATTTATATCAAATTATAGGCTAACAAAACTTTGCGATTGTAAATGGACAGACTGGATTATTTTTGTTTTTAAATTTGTTTTATTTTTATTTCCTTTCAATTTTTTTCACGGAATTGGTGTTTTCTTTCGTTTTCTTTTGTGTCGTTATTCAGACGGATATGGCTATCATATATCATAAAATGCAGAGACATGATTGGTGTACCAACTCCGTAGCTGTTAGGATAAGGTTCAATTGTTGTGGTCCTAGCTCTGGCATAGCCATTGATAGAAGTTTCAATATGCTTCCCGACTGCACCACATATGCTTTATTAAAATGGTCTATGCAAACTTTTTATATAACTGCAAATTTGATTTGGCAATTTTAACTCCACTTTTCTATCGCGTTTTTTTTGTAGTTGTCAGGCGAATTCAAATTATGTTGACAGAAAATGTAGGTATCAGCTGGCCTTACTTGTCGACCTTATAATTGGGCCATGCTCTAACCTGTATTTTTCTACCATGGAACAGAGTATTTATATCAAGAAGATTAATACCATGTTCACATGGTAAATGATTTGCTTTCGATTTTTTGCTCGATCCCTAAATATTAAATATTTAATTTCCGCAGATACCAGGAAATAAAAAATGTATTTGGCCATTTATTCTACTTCAGCATTTTTTCCATAGTAACATTTTTATATTCTTGCAGGTTCTGGTCTGTACCAACAAATATATAAACTTCGGTATCAATTGAATTTGAAAATAAAATATAAAAAAAAACATATTTAACAGGTCAACATTTCTGGAAAAAAATAAATTGTAAAAATATTGACCTAATAACTAGAGTATTTACAGTTCCCACATGCCGACGAGAACGTAAAAATGACATGCATAACGGAATATCAAATTACAAAAAAAAAAAAAAACAAAAAAAAAAAAAAAAACACCAACGTTGAAATATGCTTACTATAGCATTTCTATGTTCGCTGAAAGCACACTGCTTTGTTGTTATCGTCGTGTCAATGCACTGGCTGTTGTGTCTGTTGAAAAAATTGCTTTTTCTCTCCCCCCTTTACTTTATAGGCATTTTATTCGAAGACAAAGATGTAAATATTGATTCGCGATTATGCGTATACATGGATAAATGCTGATGTTTTGAAATTACTTTTTAAAAAAATGTTCTGGAAGAAAATTTCAGAAAGTGAAATATCTATCAATTTTTATACCCTCCACCATAGTATGGAGGGTATATCAAGTTTTTTATCCCGTTTGTAACACCTCGAAATATACATTTTAGACCCCACAAAGTATATATATTCTTGATCAGCATAAAATTCTATGTCTATTTAGCGATGTCCGTCCGTCTGTGGAAATCACTCTAGCTTCCGAACGAATTGAAGTAGATTGATAATAATTTTATTCACCGATTTTTTTAAGTTTCGCATTTGAATATTGTAATAGCTTGTGACAAAAGTTGCCTCTGCAGGTCCACGTCGTCGTATAGACCCTAACATACACTACATTCGGTATTTTTTAAGATTTTAACAGAATTTTTAACAGATTTTATTCTTTTGAAAATTGACAAATTCGTCCCAAATGGTCGAGGGTATTCAAAGCTCGGCCCGGCCGAATTTACTTGTCACTCTTCATAATTGATCAAATCTGTTGAAATAACATGACTTTTAACTTATATTATTCATAAAGAAAATATAAGTAATTTCGCAATATTTAAAATTGTTTTAGAGGGAGTAATTCATTTTATTGAGATTTTACCAGTCATTTTATTTAGAGTTTTTACCTACTAATAACCGTAATTGTAAGTAGGTAAATATTTAGGTAGCCATCGGATGATTGGTGGTTTCAACATTGTACCTCTCAAGGAAATTCTTTGGAAAAAACAGGTAAAATTGGTAGCCAAGTAATATCCACTGTGTTTTTCACGCGGAGTTGGTTACCTATGTACGTTAAAAACTATAAGGCCTTTTTATGGAAATACCGAATAAAAACCAAGCGACACAGTTTCAAAAGACTTGTCTCTTATTGTAAATATTGTTCTCGCTACTATTCGCTGTGTTTGAATTTTAAAATAACAGTGTTGCGTTTTATTGAAATTAATAAAAATCGGCAAATATTACAAAGCTGTCAGTTTCATTTTGAAAACATTGTTTTTTTTTTGATAGAAGTTAAGCCTATGGATTAATAATCCAGACTGAAGCCTTCCACGAACTTCCATAAATTGGTCTGATAATGTCATATGCCGATCTTCATTTGTACCTTTTTCTGATGAAGTATTGGTATAAATTATATTTTTGAGCCTTGACTGTTGTGCGCCTGCTAATGTTGCCCAATAAGAATTATTCATGCCTGTAGTAGGTTTTGGTGTGCAAATTTTAGAAATAGTTTTCAGTTTCAATACCAACTAAAATTCGCCATTTTTTTTACAAGCCGTTCCATTGGTATTTCCTAAGATTTATTGTATTTGAATTTGGCGGTGACCGAGACAAAATCAAATTTATTTTACAATTTATAAAATTTGGAATTAAAAAAGTTGTACTTACATATAATTTTTTGTCATTATTTTATTACTAAATTTTTTCAATACAATGTTGATTATTAATAGTAACTCATCACAAACAATTATAAAATGAATATATCACAGTTATTCTTATTTCAAATGGTAAAGTACGACTAAAATATTGGTAATATATAAACATAATTTGTGTAATCACAATCTTCCTTTCAATATGCTGCTAGTTGCCTTATTTCTCTATTATCTCTATTTTTTGTCTCCCTTTACAAGATCACTTCAGCTCAGATAAGATTCTAAGCATTTTCCTGCACTCAAAAACGAAGAGATTTTCGGACATATTTTTAAATGAATTTTCTTTACACTCCTTGCCTTTGAAATAATTTTTATACACAAATTTGACCAAGCTAAAAGCTGGAAGCATGGTTTTCCAACATGAGTGGCTGATATGTTGACTTTAAAGGATTACCGTATCTAGTACCGTTCTTTTTCGGTAAATTATTTCACCATAGTGATTTTGAGAGTTGTAATGAGCAACCATGGATTAGCGGCTGAACAAATTAAAACGACACACGCACACATAAACACAAACATTCCTCTATATCGACAGAGTTTTATTATTTACACTAAATACAGAGAACATAAAAATCAAACAAAAAAAGACACCAATGAATATGAACCAACTTCTGTTGTTGTTATGTTGAGACACTTCTAAACACTCCGCGGTACGATCGATGCATTACTTGAGCCAC